AATATAATATAATTACGTTCGTTAATTCTTATTTTACATATGTGTAAAAAAACTAAAATTTTTTTTTTTTGACGTTACAAAGACATTGTCGAGGTTTGACTACCGATAATGAAGAGCAACGTTGTGCGAGATCGTTTATATCCGCCGTCTCACATTAATTCTCGATGATCTCGAACTTTTTTCCAAGCTCGTTTGAGTCTCGAAAGGCCTCCTCCTCTTTCCGCTGCCCTAAAACGGTGGCTTCGTAAGCGCGGCTTCGTATAATGGGGCGCACAGGCCCTTTCGCGGCACTTGAGAAAGAACTGTGGCATTTTTGGATGTTCCACGTGCCGACGAAGAAACACGCGGCACGATGACGGCGGTTTCTTCGTCGCGGTTAGGTTACGTTAAAATTACGTGACGGTAGTCTGCGGTATGAGGTTGCAAGTTTTTGACCGGTCGAAACATTTTCGCATCACTGTGTTGTGCCGCTTATTATATACACTTAAAAAAAATTTTTCCCAACAAACTTTCAAACAAGATGAACTCTCGCTAGGAAACAAATTCTCTCAACAACGCGGTCCACGTGCGAAATCTATAAACGTCAACGTAATTGCTTTTCTCACAATCGAAGTTCTTATATTTCGAGAACGCTTGCGCGCGATACGTCGAGACGCTTACGACGCGAACGTCTAGTGACGCGGCTAGACGCTGAATAATCAACGGCTAATTCTACGAGGGGATTAGAATTTCTGAAATTGCATAGATCAGGATTGTTGCGTTTTGCACGGAGACGAAAGAACACTTCCGATTTTTCGAACGAATCAGCAGTCTCGACTTGTGCACGCGGAAATTGTAACGTAAGAATTTTTGCGGGTTCTCGTTATTTATTGTAAAATATGTTTATTGCCGCTTCTGGGTAGTCGCGAAGGTTTTCCTCGTATGAAATTGCAGAAATAGCGCCGCGATAACGCGCGCGCGTCACACACACAAAGTTACGTTCTTCCCGGCAATGCAGGTTGTTAATCGCTTATCGGCTTATTAAGTCGCGCACGCATATG